ATATATATATATATATATATATATATATATATAGCTTCTAAAACTGAAGCTGATTTTCATCTCTTTGGGAGGGCCGACGTGAACACAAAGCTGAAAAGAGACTATGTACTGCCAGAGAACCTCAATGCACTCAGAAACAACGCTCTCTTTTTTTGTGTCCGATAATTCAAAACATTCAAAGTAGGACAAATACAATTATTGTCCTAAAAGGAAAGTGACTTTGGCTCAATGAGCCAGCAGTCAGAAGACAAGTCACCTTACTTTGCACTGATCTAGGAGACACTTGACAACTGAATATTCAGCTAAAGTGAGGTGGCAGCCATCCGTTATCTCACTGACGCACACCTCCAACATCAACAACTGTATTGTTGACCCTCATGGGTGTTATGCAGGAGTGATGGAAGGATGCGTGGCCTCAAGAGGTCACAAGACAAAGAAATGACCAGGGACTCACTGAACACAGAGCCGCAATGCTTCAGGAGGAAAGATCCCAAGTTAGGAAAATCATGTTCGTTGGAACAAAGAAGCATTTGGCTGCAGTTTCGCTGACCTCTAAGCATGCCTCAACAAAGAGTCATGAGAACGAGGTCCTATTTTTGCATCAACATTTCACACCAAACACACCTCGGCCCATCTGATAAAAAGCCTCGTGCAAATGTCTAAGCTATTGCCACATGCACATGTGTTTACAGTTTATCTCTATCAAATTGCCAAAGGGTCTATCAGCGTCTGACGGACAACAGGTAAAAATCTTTGCCATCTGCTTATGGATCTTGTTAGCAGCATTCTTATGGTAACAAGTAACCTGAGCATGCGTTGAAGGTGAGCTTAAGGCTAGCTTTAAAAAGGCCACACATGCATCAGTTGGCATCCGATCTCATGTATTTACCTCTTGTAAATTGTTGTGCATGGACTGACGGTTCGGATTTGCCTAAAGGCTGTCATACGGACAAACGTGTCTGCAGCCAGAGACGGGAATAATGTGGGGAAAGGGTCGAGTGGGAGAGGAGTCTGGGGAGGATCTTAATGCCAACCAACCTTGGAAGTAAGAGAAGAGATGAAGAAACTAACCAACAAAGCAGGAAAGACAGAGCATGAGCATCTGAAACTTGTGCTCAACAATATCCTCTAGGGCTGCTGCAATCAGTCGGCATAATACATTTTTTAATGATTTGAAGGAAAAACCCATTTCCAGCGCAAAGAGTTCCCCCGGCTCACCAGCTCAGAACACCCCAGCAAAAGGCAAATGAACAGCACCTGGTCTATTGATTTGGACCACAAACAGGGGAAAGTGCATGGTAAAATTAAATGAAATACTCAAAACAGATTTTTTTTTCTTTTTTAAAAGAAAAATTAATCTAAAATAGTTTGTTGTTGAGCTGGCTAAACCCTGTGACTGAAGTAGTCTTCATTTGGAGAAACTAAACTCTCATTGAGCTCCACGGACCAGGCCAAACCACGAGTTAAACGGCAGTAGTCCCCACCACATGTGTGCTGATCTTCATGTGTTGCAGGTGTGGTGGGGAGTGAACAAGTTACAGCTCTCAAACATTGCATCAAGAAGGCATCTCCTTTTCCCCAGTGGTCCCCTCTTTCAGCGAGGCCAAACCACAAGCTGAGAACAATCCGATCCACTCACAATGATGTGGTGAACAACACAACAGGCCTGACCTCCGTGGCTCCACCTGCCTGGGCCGTTCTTCACAAAAACAGGAAAAACAAGCTCGATCATTCCCTCATTACCACTGGTAGGAATTCATTAAATATTCATTTCTCTCCATCTTTTACATGCTTTTCTGTTCAGCACCAAATATGTATTGTCTAGATGTGCATGCTTTTTGTTAGAACTTTTCATAAAAGACCATTTCCCAGGGTGGTGCCGAGAAAATTAAGTAATAAAAGTCGTGTTTGTTTTTCCCAAAATAATGTCGTATCCATTTATCTTCATCTAGGCCTTGCGTTTGGGTCCAGCATGTCCGTGTTAAAGATCACACACTGGACAGAGATGTGATGAAGGCTCTGCTGAGCAAGATAAGCCCCAAATCCACGGATACTCTTGTTTACAGAGTGTTGATTAAGATTCCACAGTGGTGAGACTCAAGTGTCATTCATCATTCAATGAAACCTCCTGCTGCAGCAGCAGAAGTGATCCGATTCCCCAAAACAAGGGAGAAAAAAAGCATTTGCTTTAAGTACATGCAGGACACTGTAAATGTCAACTGGTTGAAAAAGATACTGTACATTCACCTGATCTATTATCCGCCATATTTGTTCCTTGAATTGAAATATTTGCTTTCATTTGCTTAGTTTCTCTGAGATTGTTCTTCTCGTATCAAAACAACATTTCACCTAATCTAACAGCTGGCAGGATGAAAGTGATAGTGTTTGTAAATCGCTAAAAAGATGTTTAGTGGAATTTGTTCAACACAGCTAACTAAACAATGGAAGTGCAGCAGGGTCTGGTGCATTATTCATCACCAAGTCCATCGTGAAAATATCAAATTACACTTAAATGTGTAATTGTTTATAGAGTGGACACAGCCAAGCGAGGCATGAAATTACATCTCACACACGGCAGGTCTACGCCGACTGCGGCAGCGACTGCACATGTTTTTGGAGTAAATCCTTCAGTCAGTTATGGAGAAAAAGGGCGACTGTGTGAATGTATTGGATGACCACAGTCGAGACGGGACTGAACTCACAACGTAACAAAAATAATAGAAATCGGCAGTTTGAAGTGTCTCTGATTTAATATGTTTTATTGTCATACATGCTGATTCAATTTATAGTGTTTTTACTGTGTGTGTGGAGTGGACCAGGACACTTAGACAATGTGTGTGTGTGTGTGCGTGCATGTCTCACCATCCATGGCAGCTGGGGTCCCCTGCTGCACTCCAGCATAGGGAGCCTGTGGTTGGGGGGGCACCACTGGCTGAGGGGCTGCAGATGAGGAGGAAGCAATACTGTCAGGGGTTCCTGAGCGCTCCTCTGGTGCAACCGCTGGAGGAGCTACTCAGACAGCACAGAGAAGAGGAACATTCTTTACATGACGGCTATACACTGCAACTAAGCAAATTCTATTGTTCTGCATTGAAATCGGGTGAAATACCTGGGGCCTGGTCCTCGCTCAGGCCAAAAGCAGAGATGACATTCTTGCTGACCTCGTCCTGGTTTTTTAAGGGGTCGAACGCCGACATGCTGGCTGCGCTGACTGGAGTGACATGCTTCACTGTGGTGTCTGCTGCCAGCATCCTGCCGTCACGTCCATCCACTGAGTCTAGAAACAACAGCCACAGAAATGTTGAAGAACCAGCAAAGACAAACTGTGGCAACAATGCAATGCATGTATGCAACTAGTCGTTTGTTATCACACCATTACCACAAACATGTAGTACAAGAGGTATGAGGGGTTTAGTGTTTTTGACATTTTAAAAAAAAGGAACGCTGCCAAAACCTCATAAAAGACATTGACTGTACTACAGATCACCCCAATTTCATTATCAGTTACAATTACCCTCAACAGAATTATAATAAACAGAATGATAAACCTAGTAAAAAAAATATGTCATGTAGGCATGTTAGTTTACATGTCCTTTGATTGTGAACAGTTAACATATACTGTAGGAGCGAAACAGCTCAGCCAGACTGCTCCTGTCCTGTCTATGTGTGCGTGCTTACCACTGTCCAGTGCTGTAGCAGCCAGACCAGGCTCTGTGGGGGGCTCCAGGCTATCCAGGAGGTTGTTGACTTTATTCCTGAGCTCAATGAGCTCCCTGCGCAGGTACTTCACCTGACTAGACTCCAAAGGCCGCGGCTGACCATTCACTGCAGATAACGAGAGATAAAGAGGGCAGAAGTGAGCAATTGAAACAAATCCTTGTTAATTGTTTGGGGCATGAGATTGAAAAATTCAAACATTTCACCATCTCTGCACAGCAGAACTTGATCGCAGAAGACAACAATCCCACATTCATACCTTTATTAATGGGGCATTTTTGTAAATCACTGGATCTCATTAATAACAAAAATGTACCACTTGTCTTAACGTTGTCTTGAACTACCATTAGCTTACAGTAATATCTGGGTCAGACTGTACACAGCAGCAGATTGTAAACCAAACAAAAATCAAATAAGTGTTCATCAGTGCACAAACAGTATTACACAGTAATATCTGCTAATGTAAAATAAACAGTGTAGACTAATAATTATGAAGTTCATTGGTCTGGAAAAGCTGTTAATTATACACTAAGTATGTGCACATTATGAATGATGACCTGTCACAATGCTGTTGGCTCCACACTCTAAATACCTGGGATTACAGAGCTCATACTGCTCATGGTTGCAGCTCACAATAGCAGCTGGGCTGACTGAGGGACTGAGGCCTTCATTATCACCAGCTAACAATGGAGCTGAAGAATGCTGAGCAAAAGGGAGCTGGTTTATCGTGCTTATTTAAATGAAATAGACTTAAAGCTATCAGGTAAAATGGAGATCGCCAGACATTCCTTTCTCACACACATTCTGTCTGGGTGGATAACGCTGAACAGAGATGCGCAGGGTCATTCGGTACTGTGCCGAGACCCTGCCAAAGATTCCGGTTACTCTCGCTCCATTTGAATCTCGACACATGTCCGAGATTATCGGTTCCACGTGAGGTTGTGACATATAAAACGTGCCAAGACTCGGATCTGATTGGGAGGAAGTAAGAAAATAAAAATCGTACAGCTCCCCGGCTTATAATAACAGCCTCAGAAGGACAGACTGACTAGGAGCAGAGCACAGGAAACAACAGCATGTTGTCATTACAGATTCACAAGTACAGCGAGGGGATTTCTAGCTTTGAGCCATTTTGAGTTTCAAATTTATGTAAGATCATTACATGTGTAAGATGCACATCTATGGTGTGCTCTGGTTTGTGGGT